TGAGTCTGACATACTTATTTTTCACACACAGAAATCAAGTGAACGTCGCGATGACGGCACTGAACCAATGGATGTAATGGTCAGTACAACCGCTGAAACACAGAACAAGACCGAAGTCGAAAAAGAAGACGAAAGTCAAAATGATGGTATCGATTCTGGACCGAGTAGTGGAAGCACCGGACAGTTGGAAAAAGACTCGGATAACGACATTTCTCAAATAGAGCACAACGTTCAAAGCGATCGGGAACAAAGCACATCTGTTGGCAGTTCTGAACCAAACGATAAAGACGAAAGTCGTAGCCAAGGTGATATCGATTCAGGCGAACATTCAGATGGCCACATTTCTCAGTTTGATTTTGGCGCGGACCATGTTCAAAGCGATCGTGAGGAAGACTCATCTTTGGAAACAAGCGTAAGACTAGTTCAGGAAATATTTGATTTCACTTCAAGTCTCACATGATTAAAATATTTCCCTTCAGAGTTTGTCGGAATGCTGCGTTGGATTCAACGAACAAGATGTTCGAGCTGCAAAGAAGAACTTTGTTGAAAGTCAACGCTTCTACAAGAAAGTTAATGGGTTCGTGTCAACTGTCTCGTATAATGAAGATGTAAGCACGAGTATTTATAAATTATATAATTCTTGTTTTCAAATATTAATTGGGGACATTTTACATTTACAGGACAACGGCAAGAAATGTTAGAACCTTCGTCGCAAAAACTGAAAGACCAGTCCCACATATTTGAAAAACTCATTGCGAGGCCAGAAATAAATGAGAATAGTTACAAAAAACTACACAAACATTTCAAAATAAAGATCTATTCGTTATTATACTTCCTCTGTTTTTTCTTCAATATACGATGATTCCACCATTTACCATTTGTTCATGGTTTTCGACTATAATTTATAAATAAAAATTAAAAAATATGAGTAAGAAAATCTAAGCCAAACTGATATAAATATCCTCAAAAACAAACTCAATTGTTTTCGGATTTCACGTGGTTCAAAAAAAACATTAATTAATATCCATTTTCATCGATTCATCATTATAGCAACTGTTAGAGCGAGTCGCTGAAGCACTTCAATGCTTCATTGCTATACACAAATTCGTTGCCACTTCTATTGCCCACCAAATTTGAAATCGGTCGTGCCGTTTTTTTCCTGTCTAACACCTCGACGCTTCATCGCTTCACATAAGATCGTTTTATGCGGTTATATGCCACTTCTATTGCTCGTCAAATTTGAAATTGATCGTATCGTTTTTGTATGCCATATCAACTAAACACAAATAAGTCCAGATAGAAAGTACGGTGAAAAAAGAAAAGAATGGTTGGATTTTCAATCCTACAACCAATCTTAATACAATGAGAAATTATAATGAATGATCGTTCCCATCGTCAAATGAAAGTTTATTTTAGCCACCCATAGCCACCTCTTGATCACAAATGGATTCATATCAAATGAACAAAAAAAACTTTCATATACGTAAATACATTTATTTATTTTTTGGCAGATGTTTTTTGGTATCATCATTTTTGTGGTAAAACAAATAATCAAAAATGAAAAATTCTTTATTTATTTTGTGCTTCTCTTCCAATTTCTATTGCAAGTCCTCGAAAAGCATCGAATCGTTTCTTGTCATCGCCAACACGATATTGGAAAATGGCTATAATGATAAGTCAGAAACAAATTAACTCATTGCTCAAGAACACGACAAGTTGAAATTAATTAATAACACCTTTTGCGAATTGTAGTATACTACGATTGAACACTTTTAAAGATGATGAAGATGCACAATTTCTAAGTTCATCCTTCCTGAAAATTGCTCGAAACAAATGACGCAAAAATTCCAAATCGAAGTCTGAAGACGTTTTCGGATACACTGAATTCATGTTTTTAAGTAGCTTTACCAAAAATAAGGGTAGCTTCACAGCTTCGTCGAGATAGTAACGGTCACCATTGTTCTATAAATGATTCAGATTTGTTATTCAAAATGTTATTTTTAATATGTTATCATTCAACCTACGTTTGTAATGAAATAATATTTTGGGGCCAACTGTCCGTCAATTTCAAAATGACGGGTATTTACGAAATTTTCAGGCGGTTCGTGATTTTCATCTACTGACGATTCACTATCGTCGATTGTTTCATCGCCAATGCGATTATTCAGCTTAGTCAGCGCTTGCGAGAGACGTTTGTTTTCCTCTTCTAATTTAATTTGTCTACTATCAACTTGATTTTCTTCTTCATCTTTGTCCTTGTTTTGTGATTGGATAGATTTACCTCTTCCATCCATTGGTTCAGTGCCGTCATCGCGACGTTCACTTGATTTCTGT